ACCTTTCATTTTTCATGCTCTGTTATCACCTCTGAAGCGTATACTTCAACCGCATCAAATGGTCCTAACAGAATTAATTATTTATTATATATGTCATATTTATCAATGATTGAATCTTCCTGCTATTTCACAAAAGTATTATTCGTGTCAGTTGCGGAAGTTGTGCAACAATTCACTCGGAATCCCTGAGATGAGGTAGACGTGGGACCGTACTTCAACTAAGCGTGGCGATAGCTGTGCTTGTAGTGAGACACTTTAATTTTAACTCAATGGCGGACAGGTCTCTGTTCACTAACATAACAGTTGTCTCGAACTTAAACATCCCACGAGTTACCCATCCTATAGAATGCTTGAAGGCCACGCCTGCTCCATCTCAGGGATAAGGTCTGTAAGTGGTTTCGCCCACAGGGTACAGCATCGTTGTGTAAAACACATTAGGGGAGGGGTCGTTCATTTGTCCGCTGAGGAGGGGGGGGGTCGCATGTGCCTTTGAGCAGAAATTTGTCGCGTTGCGTTTCCGCGTTTGTTGACTTTGTTGCGTGATCGGCCCCTCCCCAACCTGCCCCTCGAGGTCGCAAAATTTTTCGATGAAAACATAGTGCCGACTGAGGTGGATAGGTGTCGGGGAAGGGGGGGGGAGGTCGTACCTACACCACCACCTCCCACATCACGATGCTGTACACTGTTTCGCCTAGTATGCGCGCGAATCAACGATCAAATTCTGAGAAGACGTGATCAACTTACCAAAGCAGGATTTGCCTCCATATCATCTTTACTGTGGAGAGAAGGGCGTTGTTGATTATGACCTCCTTTCTTTACCAGATAAATTATTTCTGAAACAATACTAATTATTCGTGTGTCTGTCCAGCGAAAAAGATCTGTACCCAAAGATATCATGGTAAGTCGGAAATCAGTACAACTGGGACTCTGCTGTCCAAAGTGCATGAATTTGGGCTTCTTACGTTCTCAATCGCTTACTCTATCACCTTTTCATTCTAACTGCGCTTTTTTCTCGATTATGAAGGCTTTTCAAATTCGCATTCCACACTTCGAACTGAAACCTCTGTTTAAGAAATCTGTGTAGTAGGAAACTTGTGTACTTAAGCAGCGTTGAGGATTTTTCAAGAGCCTGGACCCTAATCGTTGATTTTCCAGACCAAGGAGACTGAATTTGAACTATTAGGTTGTCGCATAAGTTCTTATACACGACTTTTTTGTAAATATCTCAAAACGAACCAGCCTGGAGATTAGAGGTATGCACCATCACCATTCACTACTCGACGCCAGCGCTCAGGCAGCTTGTCGATTCCATCCTTCCAGAACGACGGAGGCTGGGACTTGAAGAAGTCGTCGAGCGCCTTTCTGACCTGATCCTTTGTTTCGAACTTTTTTCCGTCCAGATAGCGCTGCAGGACATGGGCCAGAAGGAGCGAGGTTCAGGGCTGTAGGAGGATCTACCCGCGCGGAGGTGGGCGACCATCAGCCATCCGTACTTCTCCAGCTCGGCCTGGGTCGCCTTTGCAGTGTGAGGTCGGGCGTTGTCATGGTGGAAGTAGATTTCCGCATTCCTTCCACGAGTACGGTCGACGTGATCTTTCAATTTCCGCAGCTGGGTCACGTATGTGGAAGCATCAATCGTCTGTCCCTTCTCCAGCAGCTCCCACTCCATGCCTCTTCTGGACCACCAACAGGACAGGAGAACCTTTTTGGGGTGAAGGTCGGCCTTTGGGGTGGCTTCTGGCTGTTCTCCTTTGTCGACCCACTGCCGCTTCCTCACAGGGTTATCGTAGAGGACCCACTTCTCATCTCCAGTGATCATCGAGTTGAGAAAGTGAAGCCTGCTTTTGGAAATTGAGCGCAAGAGAGAGTGCAGGTGGTCACCCTCCTCGAGAGGTCATAAGCGGACAGTTCATGTGGGACCCATCGACCAAGCTTTGCTACCTTGCCGAGCTTTTCTAGTCCACGTGCAACCGTCGAATGATCATAGCTAAGCATGGTCGCCATTTCTCTGGTGGTGAGTACGGGTCCTCCTCCACGGTGGAACGTAGTACTTCCAAATCCAACTCCATCGGCCGACCCGACCTCGGAGCATCTTCGAGAGAAAAGTCTCCTTTCTTGAATTTGGCGAACCAATTCTTGCATGTCATGTAAGAGATGACGTCCTCACCGTATGTATCCACCAGCTTGGTATGGGCTTCCTTTGCATTCCAGCCGAAATCGTGGAGCAAAACCAAACAGTGGCGCAGGTACGTTTTGTCACAGTGCAAATTGTGCGACATTGTGTACTGCAAATGCAAGCTCGGTGAGTGATAGCTAGTGTAATGAAAGAGTATAATGTACACGTCACGCACACGTGATGACGTAATACCAACATCCATGCGAACGAAATAGGAGAGGATCAAACACGTGTATAAGAACTTATGCACAACCTAATACGTGCCACTCCTCTAACCATAAGGGTATTTAGGGCATAATATACGATACTCTCGCGCGTTTGCTCATGTAGATTAGGTTTCTGTTGGCACAACAGACTTTTGTCTCTCTTGACTGTCGATCCTTTTTGGGTTGATGAAATAAGCCAATATATTCATACCTGAGGCATCTTCTTCCCGATTATCCAAATCCCATGCAGAAGTTTTGGTGACCAGTTGAGCACATATGACACCGAAACTGAAACCTTCAGAACAATGTGCTACATCGGAGTTTAGCATAAATTTCAATCTCAGGGAAGCTTTCAAGGTCTCAAATGTTCCGCGGCAACGATATCTAGGGACCTGACAAAGGGATGATCACTTTTCAAGTAGATCTTCAAGAAAGAGATGCCGCTAAAATTGGTATGACGAGAGCACGAGTGAAAGGCGGAAATTTTTGTGGGCTAAGATCTCATAAAGATTTGATTTCAGTCGGTCTGCACTTGTGCTCTGAACCAGCGCACGCCATCGTTTTAGAAATCACACAGAGGGGGGGGGGGGGTTGCATCCGATCGCCAAGGAGTTATGCACACTGCACGACTGAACAACGTGTTTTCCATTGCTGAACAGTATTCAAAAAGAATAGATGTTTGGCTGCTACAGTTCAGATATCTTGTTCAAAATGTGGTTGGCCTATTGACTGAACTTTATCAAAAGTGAAGAGAGTGATTGAAAACGTCAAGGACCAATTGGTCGCAGCACTCACTAAGACCCCACAAGGACAACCCATTCAAATGATGATATTGAAGCATGCGCGAGCAGTGCGTGTTTGTTAGAGTTCAGGAAAATCGCTGTCAACGTTCAGGAGGATTCGTTGTGGGGTAGAAGAATCCCAAATTTTAGGTCACTCGTCCGAAGTACTATTCCACGGCGCTGTTCAGTTTGGAAGGAGCAGCTCGCACTTCCGATAGTTCTCTTTGTTGACTCAGGTCAAACCACAAGCACACCATGGCGAGACCTGCAGATTTTGTAAAATGTAAATGATGCTTCTGCTTTTGCATAGTCTTGCAGGAACATACAGGCTTTCACAGTAGGCATCAGCAGTGATTGATGTGAACCAGCGAATTCTCCGCCCCCCTAGGCGGCACAGCGCAATGTTCCGCTCGTCAGCCTATCATACGCGTACTTTATGTTTCAATAGAAATGCTTATGTTTCAATAGTAACGCAATTGAAATTTTTTTCTATTCGAATCAAACCTTGCGTAACTTTTGGGACACCCTTCATATCCATGAGGCATCATTGAAATACCAACCTGTAAATATCGGCCTCTTGTGAGCCAAGTGAGCTATCGAGGTCATCCTTTCGCAAAAGCTCTGGTGCAGTCCACAATAGGTCTGGAACCAATGGAAATCACGATAAAGCGACATTAAGAAGAGATTCCAGCAAAAACTGGTTAATCTAACAATCCATGGTTTGGTTATAAGAAAACAGGAGTGATAGAAAATGGCACAGAGGAAACTGTGATAAGGGCTCAAGCAGCAGGAATTGCTCAATATGTCCTCAGGCCAATATACGTTTGTTCCTTCCTTTCTATTACCGTAATAACAGTCAAGCGCGAAGGCATCTCCAATGAACGGTACACCGAACCTGCGATTTTCAGAACGCTTCAGATTTTTAGAGGCAGGTGTTCTTAAGTCGCCTGGAGCGTTCCCCGCAAAACAGACAGAATGCCTTTCTAGAGGCATGCTCTCGCTTTTTTTACTGGAAATGTTTGCCCTTCATATGTACATATAAATTAGTCCCATAAAGT